TTACCCCCTCCACGAATGCGACTATTTGCCATACAAAAGCAATATGGAACAGTCCTAAATTAGATATAGAGGTACTTCGCCAGAGCAGCGATTAAGCCTGATTCCTCGACATAATTTCATGGTCATGCTTTTTATACAGTTCAATTATCTATTGGTTTATACACACGCATTGCCACAGGTCCGGAGTATATTGTTAACTAAAGTACTGGTCACTCTTTAAATGCTCTCGATCTGCCTTGTCACTACTGCCGCCTAGAATCAACCTAGATTGTTTCATAGGCACACAATGATTGACCCGGTCTTCATTTTGGCTCTGCACAGATGAAGTTTGTGCCGTTGCTAGAAGATGAAACGAAGTCGCTCTGAAGATCTTTTGTGCCCTGGATACCATTGGGGTAATAATTCAAAATAGCACTGCTCTCAAAAAGTGTCTTGACTGCACTGGTGCATGTGTTGTCTGTAGCGTATGAAGACACAGGTTTGTTAACTCCTGAGGCATCATTCCCGGTAACCTAAAGGTATCATCAGTTGAGTGCTTGAAGAATAAAAGATCATAAAACATACCGTGAGGCCGTTGGACCATCCATTTATGGGGATCGCGAATGCAATGTTTCCAGAAAGCTTGTTGCCAGTGACTGTGGTAGGGCCCTTGTAAAAGTAAGGGCTTCTGCAAGGACCCGACCAAGTACAAGCGCCAATGGCTATACCAGATCCAAACAACTTGCGGCCCTGAATTGTGTTGTCGGTCACTTTTACATTGGCATAGTTTCCATCGTATGTGTCATCCACGAGATTGATAGCACCGAAACTCAGATCAGTCTCGGATGAGATAATTGTGTTCCTAGTGACGGTTGTGCCAGGGGCCCCAAAGATGACAATACCACCATCCGTAGGAGAGTCAATCTAGTAAATCATATTAGATGTGTAGATTAGGTAGGAGACTAGGTAGACGAACAGTATTGCCAGAAACCTCTGAGGCGGTGCAAGCAAATGAGATCCCATCTGCCCACTGACCCTGGCCAGCTGAATTGGTACCAGAATGACCGCATGGACCAATATCATTGTTGGTGACAGTAGCGTTCCGGCAGCCACTGTCACCACTCTCGGTGACATGCAAGCAGCTCCAGCCACGAGGATTGCGGGAGGCGACATGATCAATTATTTGACCATTGCTAGTACCTCCTAACTCGATGTTCGCTCCTCCTGCAAAGCTTTTAGTATATCATCTTTCCACCAATAGACCTTCCTTTCTCCGTGCCATAAATACTGGTTAATCTTACCATTGTGCAAGTAGCCAGCATTTGGCCGGTTCCCATCAACTTGAATGTTTCTAACTTTGACACCGTCGTAACCTGCCCCCGAAATCAAAGTAGACACACTACTTCCCTTAGCGACCTGGAGGGTAGCACGTGTATTGCCAGTAGGATACCCTTTTGTGGAAATTTCCTGGTTTGCAGCCGTAAACTTGACGGAGTCGGTTATTGAAAGTACCGCATTAGCACAGAGCTGAACGACTGTGCCAGTACCCCCGGAGCTGAATGCGTTGTTGATATTGGTTTGGTCCCCAGATGAGATGCATGCCGCATAAGTGCCTGAAGCAAGAATAAGAGTTACGAGGAGTCGATGCATTTTGATTGGACAAAAGAACACTAAAGATAAAGTCACAATTGATGCTTCAATAATGTGTGGGGTTAGATTTCAAGTTCGGCTCGGCTTGGGCGGTTGCAACAGCCTATTTATACTCTAGTTCCGTAACTATTCTAACCCTTTGTCCTGATGGTTAAATTTGGGGTTCAAAGGCTACATTTGCCAGATTAGAAGCTGAAACATAAGGGCTTGCATATGGGTAAAATGGGTCAAGATCCTACCCAATTGCTATCAGTATACGTACTCCCTAGCAAATAATTCATCGCAATGCAACATATCAATGTTACTCAAGACACTCTAATGCTGAAAACAGGAGCCTATTCTCTGATCCATCTAGGAAATTGGCATCTAACTCGGCAATCACGAGTTTAACTTAATTACCAAGGTAATATAGGTCCATAGTCGGTGTTAAATTTTAGCCCCAACGTTCTATGGACCTATAGAAACCCGAGAACATCTCATGGAGCAAAAAGAGGGAATCCGGATTCTGAGGAAACTTGATCCCGCCGGTAAATGAACCCGAAGATTGCAACTAACTAAGCATTATTTTGTTATTATTGCTCAATCTTCATCTCGGGAGGACCAGAATTCGGCAAAATGTCCGATGGTCAATTCATTTGTTGAGCGGGACAGGGATGTTCTGCACATACTCGATCCGCCAGCGTTTTTGTATGTAAAGGTGGGTATAAACGGAAGTATGGTGTGGTAATATACCACCAGCGAGTTTACAGGGAGATGTCCCAATAGGTCTCAACCATCATACAGACATCAAATTACCATCCTCGCCTAGATATTCTCAATACAGTGGGCAGAAAGGTTTGAACACCTAAATTCTGCCAGTTGGGTCTTCACTAATCAAAGGCCGAGGATACCGGTCGGTAGAGATAATTACGAAGGCGGTAGCAGAGGGGGTGTCCACACTTGTGTCAGTACGAGCTCGTACGTCAAACTACCGATACGACCACTATCCTTTATAGTCAATAATATGGAAGTTTCACAATAACGAAATTTTTCTCCAGTACGTCCATCTATATAGCAAGCTTTTGTGGAGAAAACCAACTCCAGGGTAGGACATGTTATTGGACAAACATTGACGGCATGGTGCGCAGACCTCCAAGTGATTAGCTACCGCTAGGGAAGCGGTATCTTTACCATATTAGGAATATGGTGTTTGCACCGCCGAATTATACTGTACGGAGTACTCCGTACAGTGACTACAAAAAAGTTTGGACCCCACAACGGGAATTGTTACGAACACCGCACGTTTTACTAGTTAACAGAATATCTAGTATGAATAACACCGGGTCCGCGGCGAAGAAATCCAGTACGATAGTTTCAATAAGCTCGTTCAATTGGTTCCCTGAGTACTACAGTTTCTTCCATTTTCGGCAGTCCCAGGTTCAGCACACATTTTAACTAGGCACCAAAATCTCAGGAACAGACCACCCACTTTTAGGGTTTCCCATACATAAGAAGATCATCTGGCACTATTTTCGTCTCGCACACAAATTCTCTTCATTTATTGCTTAATCATATCAATATAGCCAATAAGAATGCAGGATTCTATACCTTCTACGCCATCATCAGCGGCCCTGTTAGCTAACCCGGCAACAAAATAACTAACCTAATAAAGGCAAATCCGACGCTTAGTAAAAAGCACTATGTAGTTATCTCAATGGGTCTAAGATTGACCCTAAATCTACTTAAAGAATTTAGTTCTTGTAGCATTTGATTTGTTTACACTCTCTGTCTTGTTTAACTCGTGAGGCTTGTGGTATATAAGGGATGAAGGGAGGAAGGAACATAAAAGGAGTGAACAGACACTCTCGAGACAATTTTGCGACTTCTATTCATCGTGTTCTTTCTTTGACTATTGATATCATCGCATCTATTGAAGTGAAGACTCATGTTGAATTCATGCTAGCCTTTGGCTTTCGCGCCCTTAAAGGGCCATTCTTTCCCTTAGGCGGCTACTGGCGTACGGTGGTTGTTTTTGCTTCCTCCTAGTTAATGATCTAATAACTAGCCCTTAGCTGAAAAAGGATCAAAGCGAGGACCCGATTGCAGGTAGTGGATTTCAAGGGAGACACCTCGGTCGGTTCACCTTTAATCTAGCTTGGAAACCAGCCCCGTGTGGCCGCTGATTGAAAATCTCGTCGATATACATGTTCTCACCTGGCACTGATTGCCATTACCTAAATTGTGTTGATTTTCTCTCTGGTGGCATTAAAAATATACCCGGTATTATCCTAGTTACTACTGACAATATCAGCGAACGTGATGGATATTCCCTCAACAGCGGTGGCAATAGCCATATGCGCTCCGCGGTAGAAGAATGGATCAAATGGTGGCCGCAGCCAGCTGCAAGTCTTTAAATATCGCTTTTATCAGCAACTCGACACGTACTCCCTTATGAATCGCCCGGAAGGTCTTGAGGTATCGCTCCGCACACATGTTGACTTCGGTGAGGCTACTTTTTGGAATATCGCCGCGTGAATCTACTTCACTTGATTTGCTCTGACCTCCCAGGCTCTAATGGTAAATTTTACGCCAGCTGAGCCTCCAGTGGCGGGATTATTCCTGGACAAATATCTTAATCGCTTCGAGCTTGTCGTTCGCCATAGTGAGACGAGCAGCCAAGTCGCGAAACGGCCCAGGTAGACCGCCTTTGTCCTTCACGGCCTCATAGAATGTCTTAGTTTCCTCAATCATGGATGTGAGACCCGAGATCAACCCGATCACCAGTGCAACCTCTGCACTGGATAAACGCCGGGGAGTCACTACTACAAATAGTGTAGTGGGGGATCCAGTGACATTACTTAGCCTAGTCGTTTCTGTTTTGTGGTCTGTTTGTCCGGCTTGTTTTGGTTGAATTCAGCGGAAATCGTATGCTTTGGATCAGGGAAGTGAAGATATATACAACACGTACGACAGGAGTGAAGAGGTATTAGACGCCTTCTTAATGGAGCTTTTCTTCTCGTTTTTCTAGCTTTTCTCACAGAGCATGACGTTCTTTCAATTCTTTTACCAAGGCAGCTGGATCTATTGTTGGTAGGGCGATTACTAACTGTAAAATCCTATCTTCTTGTTGCCTCTCTTACTGCAGCTTCGCTGTTGGGGGTTTGTTCTGCCTCTGCCTACGACTCCGTCTTTCTCTCTCTCGCGCCTCGACCTGCCTGTGCCGACCAGGCTGCCTTGAGCTTCCCCACTTCAATAAGTATTACCGTATTATTCGTAAGTAGGTACCTAGTTAACTAACTAGTTATCGGAGAAGAATAACTGAGTCACAAGATATTACTCATCCGCGGGTTGTCGCTGGGTCTGTCTGTACTTTGTGACTTCCATAATGAAGGCTAGACTTCTTTCCCAAGGAGCCAGCCCAAGCCAAGGACTGTGTCTTTAGTAAATTCCTCGGTGGCGGAGTGAGATGGATGGGTGTACCAAAAGACATGTGGCAGGCCATTGTAAACAACTACCCTGGTCCTGCCGCCATAGTTCAGCCTCAATTCCCGCTCATAAATCAAGCCTTCGTCTCTCAAGAGATCGGCACCGCAGATTTGGAAAAAGTAGGCGGCAAATTGGCATGTCCAGTCGGCCAAAGAAGCGGACTCCACAGAGGAGAAGTCATGTCGGGGTCTACATCTCGATCATACAACGCGATGGACTTGGAGGTCAGTGTAAATCCATCCTTAAGCGCCTCTCTGCTTCGATACAAATCCTTGTACTCGTCGGTCAGGTTTTGTGGCGCCAAAGATGGCAGGACACTTAGGTAGACGCCGGTCAGCGGAGGCTCGAGCTTCTCGTCGCGTGCGCGATGGACGAGCGGGTTTACGATATGAGCTCCGGCCGATGAGCCTCCGAACACAAAGCCTTGCGAAAGATCGGCACCCAGGGCAGAGGCGTTTCTGGATAGCTATTCTTGATTAACATCAACCAGCCCACACACCCACGTTAGGAACAATCTCTCACCCATAACAGCGCGTCCCAGGCGTCCTCATAAGCGACTGGAAATTTGTTCTCGGGAGATAGCCGGTACTCCAGGCTAACAGAGATCGCGCCGTAGGTCTGTGTGGCACCGGTACATGCGGACGCTTCCATTTCCGCGTTGCCTATACGAAATCCTCCGCCATGGAGGATAATGACCAGCGGCCCTTTTTGCGCGGGAGTGCATGTGCGGCGATATACAAGCGCACGTACTGTGCTACCATCCCGGACAGGGATGGAAATTTCTTCCTCTGACACCTCCCCGTTCGTCGCTTCTAGAAGAAGGTCTGCGTCCTTTCTGAACATCTTATTCCATCTCGCGCGCGTCTCGGGCAAACTCAAGGGCGGACCCTCATAGTGGAACCTCGACTTCACGCCATCCTCCACCATCTGCTTCCGGTTTAGTACGCAATGCATCAATTGAGGACAGCGTCAAAGCAGCGAAAGGATTACCTTCGAGAACTCGGGGTCGAGGTTGGCAAACAGATGCCATGTTTCGGGATCATCGATTGACGCTGTTGCGAGCACCATGTTGGTAGTGTCGGGGGAATTTGGGATGGAACGACTAGAGTTTGTTGCAGGGCCTTTCCCGACCTGCTGCTCTTCCGAAGCGTGACGGTGTCGCCGGTGGCTTGAGCGCCCATGATAAAGGAATGGTGCTTGTCGTGGGGGTTTGCGTGAAGATCCCCCACACCCTTCGCCTGGCACTGCTCGGCTCTTCACCAAATTCCCGAGCGGAGATAACTTGCTACACCACAATTGCCGATAGGTCAAACGCCGTACCCCAAGAGGGGATGCGGGTGGACACGTGAGAGTAATCTTATCTTTTGATCTTCGAGTGGACTCGGTTAATTCACCATCCGTTGATCCTCGCAATCCTTGGTGTATGACGCTCCCAATGCCCCCTCGCCTTATTCCTTGGTTGGGAGCCGGCTGAGTGATCCGCCTTCTGGCTCCGGCAGGTCGCGCTCGCGTCGAGGATGCCAAACCTGTCGTGACAAGAAGGTCAAGTGCGACGAAGGACGTCCAACATGCGCAAGGTGCAATCGCTTGAATCGGCACTGTGACTACACGCCGAGGCCACGAAAGGCGTACACCAGGCGACCTACTTTGGCCTTACCGGCCAGACAACGCGCTGGCTCTCACACAGCGGCGGAGCAAAATAGCGAGGCACCACCTGCTGACTCTGCTACTCCTCTGCCTGTGTCGCAACCCAGGGGCCCGATTACAGAAGACTGGACTGTCTCTCCGAAATCAATAACCGCCGAGTCGCACCATATTCCCGCGCATGAGCTAGATTCACCCCCGTATTGTCCTACATCATCTTCCAGGATCTCGCGTTCACCAGCCTGCACCGTTCTTTTGTCAGAATCCGACTATGAGGCAATCCACTGTCTTCGCTTTGTCATCTCGCCTAGTGTAGACACAAAAACGCCGGAGTTTAGTGGGCCAGCTTTGATATGGACTTTGGGCCAAAGAAGTCCCATGGTTCTCCATATGGCTTGTGCCTTGGGGTCGCTACGACTGTGTCAGGAAAGCTCGCATCCTTTAACGGCCCACCGCCGCAAATTAGAGGCGGTTGAGCATTACAGCGCGGGGCTTCGGCTCTTGTCGACCGCCATCCGAGATCTTAAGCAGATGTCTGATTTGGACTTCATTCTTGCTACTCTCTGGCTCATGATTTCATTGGAGCGGACATACGGCGATGGCACTGGAGCGGGTCTCTCGACTCACCTACAAGGCGCTGCTTTGTTACTCCAAGGAAGACTAAGAAACCTCCGAAACATCGTCGCCGAGAATGGCCCTCCATTTGACGCGCAAGGGGCTGAAGTCATGCAGTCTCGTTCCGAAGAAGAACCGTGGCACATCACTTGCCTTTCAAGCCAGATGCTCATCTGGATCTCCCTGACAGATGGCGGTGCAGCTCTCCATGGGATTGAGGCTGCCCTCAACGACCTACTTGGTGAAACTATGTCGGCCCTTGCCGAGAATGAAGCCATGTCGCGACTCAGGGGATTTAATATTCTTCAAAAGCACGCAATTATGGTATACCGTGAAGTTTGGGGCGCGAGTTATCCTCAACACGAGCTCATTGAAGACCTACAGTGCAGTCAAATTTTCTGCCTCCAAGCGGAAGCAGGCCAGCTTCGCTACATGCTCTCTAAACTTGCCCCTGTTGACCAAAATTCCGACTCGAGCCTAGGTTTTGACAAGGAGACTTTGGCGTACGCCATAGAAGACGTTGGACTGAGGTATAAAGACGTCCTTATGGCCGCAAGGTTAATAGAACTACCGAAAGATGGCCCACAGAGGACATATGTGCTGAATGTCCGGATCATTGTTCCGTTCTACCATGCGGTTGTCCTCTGCTTTTACAGCCTCGTCAATTCGTCGACGGCGTTAAGTACCAAGCAAACCGCGTCATTGCGAGAGATAATGACCCTCGCCTTCCGTACTTATAGTGATCAAGGGGATCAGGCCATGCGGCGAATAGCCTGGCCTCTGTTCGTGGTGGCGCTTGAGTCCGATGACATGATTCATCGGGCTTGGGTTCTGGAGCGATTTGAAGTTCTTAGGAAGGCAGGCGAGAACTTACGCAGGGCCCATGAAGCTCTCCATACTGCATTTCCCCAGAAAAATCTACATGAAAGGCGCCTTAGGTATTCGGAACTGCTCAGACATAGCGGGATTGATCCATTTGTGATCTGAGCCCCCTGGAACGGTATGGTGTAGAAATGAATCAAGAGGCTAGCTGTCTTGGCGTGATGATGCAGATTCCGGAAATTTACCAAGAACGCCTGAATTTAGCGACCGGCTATTCTTGATATTGCAAGACGAGCAAATTCTCGAAGGAAATTTAAACTCCCCGGTGAAGAATTCTAACACATCCCAAAAATTTCGGTATTTCATGCCTATCAACGCCCAAGTTTCCGATGGGAAAAAGACATACATGAAAAGCATACGAGACAAGGAACCTAGCTTTGTACTTTGGTTATCGTGCTGTCTAGTATCGCCAAAGAAAACCTCACTGTCAACAACTGGCTATGAATTCCACCCTACAAGAGCAGACCCATCAGCATGTCCAGTAAGTACAGTGCAGCAAACGACAACGCTTCTCTCCGCTAATACCGCTTTTGTAAGTGCTCCGCTGCTGGACAAGCGATTTTCTGTCTTAAAACAATCGCTAGTTAAGCCCGAAAACAAGCAGAGGGTGATTGAGTCTTATGACAGACTTCTTAAGGTTTTGGAGAGCGAGATTGCGCTAATTGAGAAATCTGGTCCTTCTTTTGTTCCAGAAATCGACTTCAATGATATTTGCGAAAACGGTGGGTGTTCTCCCTGTCCGGTCCGGATAATGTGACAGGTAAATAACCAATCTTAGACGGTCGTCTTCCTGAGGCATTCGCCAATATTGTACGGGACCGGGGCTGCGTCATTCTACGGAATGTCGTGAACGAGGAGCAGGCCATAGCTTGGGAGGCGTCGCTGAGGGATTATGTGCATCGCCATCCCGGTGTCGGTGGTCATCCTGCTAAAAGGCCGGCGGCCTGGAATACCTTCTGGACCCCCGCACAAGTGCAGATTCGCTCGCACCCAGCAGTAATGGAGGCTATGAGCGCCGTCTCCCGGCTCTGGCATGCAGCCGATCCATCGACCCCCATTGATTTTGATAGCCAGGTGGTCTACCCCGATCGATTTCGAATCCGCTACCCCAGTGACGACGCCGACCAATTCCCGTTACCCTCGCACCTTGACAGTGGTGCAATCGAGCGATGGGAGGACGAGGAAAACCGCAAGAATTTTGCCGCTATTTTCGAGGGCAAATGGGAGGACTGGGATGGCTGGGCAGCTGACTTCCGCGGCGCGGCGAAGACCGATCTTTATCAAACCGGAATATCGTGCTCGACTTGGCGCAGCCTTCAGGGCTGGCTCTCGCTCTCTCATACGAACACAGGCGAAGGAACTTTACGCCTCCTGCCGAGCTTGAAAACTTCTGTTGCCTATATCATGTTGCGTCCGCTTTTCCACACTGGAGAGTACAACGACTCATTGCCTACTTTCCCGGGCTCCACCCCTGGGCGCACTCAATTCTTCCCTACACCGGAACACCATCCTCACCTGGAAATTGAGAAGGCGATAGTTGGCATTCCGCCTGTGCGGCCAGGGGATTACGTCTTCTGGCATTGCGACCTGGTCCACGGCGTTGATCAGCTCAACCAAGGCAAGAATGATTCTAGTGTTTCCTACAATGCTTGCAATCCCCTGACTCCCCACAACGCGGACTCCCTCATTGGTACCCGTGCGGCATTCGCGAAGGTGGATGTGCCCGTGGATTTCATGCGGGGGCAGGGTAATAATGAAAGGGAATATGAGCATGAAGACCATGGGGCCCAGAGAGAAAACATTTTGAGTGAGGCTGGTCTGAAGGCGATGGGAATGCTACGCTTCAACGAGGACGAAGAGGGGTTGACTCCTGGGCAGAAGGAGGTGAGACGGTTGGCGAATCTGAAATTAGGACTCTAGGTTAGCCCAGCCAATTACATTAAATACGGGTTTTTTTTCTCTATTTTCCGGGCTTTCGAATGAAATGAATTTGGTTAGTCGAAGATATGGCTCAGTGACAAACAGCATGGAATAGCCGGTCGCTAAATAACCAAACTAAATAGCCGACCACATCCACATGATGGCCAAAGAGCTCCACAGTTTGTATGGTCATGCTCAATCCCAGATTCCGAACTCTTGGGAAATCAACGCCGGGAAGATTCCGACTTCTCAGTCTCAAAAAGCGGGGGAAAGATCTACACTATATATATGAGAATACTCTTTCTTTCGAGGGACCACACACCTTTTGAGATTGAGAATTGACTGTCCCATGATACCATCAACATGAACTTGAGAACAAATGTCCTTCACACGAGCGTCGTCAAAGATATGACGCTCCCTACCTTCTTTGTTTCCCTGTATTGCACTGTAGGTGATCTCGGAGACCCCAAGGATATTGAAAACAAGAAAGTTGTATAGTTCCCGTGCATCGATCTGACAGGAAAAAACGGCACAGCTTGGTGGCATTGGTTTTGGGATCGGTGAGGGTCACTGTCTTCAAGTGCATTTTTACGTACAACACTTGCTGACTGCATATAGATTACGGTTATTGGTCGGGAATGTTGGCGATGCCTCAGTTCCTTAGGGACTTTGGCGTCTACGACGTCAAGACCCAAAGCTGGGGCATCCCCTCGACCTGGCAATCTGCAGGCAGCGGGCCTCCAATTGCCGGCCTTGCCGTAGGCGCCCTTGTCGCTGGAATGGTCGGCAATATTCTCGGTCGCTTGAAAACATTTCGCCTTTCCTCTGTGATCTCTATCGTGGGTATCGTCATCCAGTGCGCATCTATGGGTTCTTACTGGCAGATTATGGTCGGGCGCATCATCAACTCATTAGCACTGGGCATCCTTGCGAACACGGTACCTGCATACCTTGCCGAGGTCTCACCCCTCTCCATCCGCGGGACGCTGGTCAACTGCTACCAGTTTTCCATCTCCATCGGCGCGATTCTGGTCAACACGACAAACTGGGGTATGCACCAACGGACAGACCAGTGGGCATACCGGTTGGTCCTCCTTCTTCAACTGATTGTGCCCGTCGTCTTCGTAATCGGATCTTTCTTCGTTCCCGAAAGCCCTCGTTGGTTGATTGGGAAAGGTCGCGATACGGATGCAGCTGGATCTTTGAGAACTCTTCGCACAGACACGTCGCCAGAGGTCATCGAACAAGAGATCCAACTGATCATGGCAGCGGAAGAAGAGAACAAGAGTCAATTTGACCAATCCTGGATCGAATGCTTCAAGTTTGTTTTTCTATTCGAACAGCCCTATTGAGTAATACTGAGAACTAGGTTATAGAGGACCCAATCTGCGTCGCACCTTGATCGCTACCGGTGTTCAGTGCCTGCAGCAAGCGCAGGGGAATTCGTTCATGGCCACCTATTCCGTGGTTTTCCTCAAATTGCTCGGCATCCAGGACGTTTACAAGATTCAGATTTTCAAGTCCCTCACCATGGCCGGTGCCTGCGGCTTTGGCTTCTACATCCCTGATCGTTTTGGTCGACGCTGGCTGCTAATCATTACCGCATTGACCTTGTTTGTCGGCATGTACACAATTTCAGGAATCGAGGCTTCTGGCCTCTCGAGCCACAAGAGCGGTCAAAGGACCGCTACCGCGTTCATATTCATCTGGGAGGCCGCGATGTCGATCGGGTGGAGTAGCTGGTGAGCCCATCACTTGAGATAGGTTAATGAAAGCCAAGACATGTTGCTGACTGGCTCCAAGCGTGTGGATTGTGACAGCTGAGGTGCCGACCCTGCAGCTCAGGGAGAAGACGATCACGATAGCCAGCTTTATCGGGTTTTGTGTCTCGATATTGATAACTTTCCTTACTCCTTTCATCCAGGATTCTGGTTACGGCAACCTGGGATCGAAGATTGGCTTCTTCTACGGTGGCTTTTCCTTTTTCGCTGCTGTATGGGCCTACTTTTTTTATCCGGAGACTGGCTTTCGTAGCCTGGAGGAGCTTGATGAGTTGTTCCAAAACAATGTATCAGTCTGGCGATTTCGCTCGTACCAGACAAGTGGCTTCGGTGCTCAATTGGCCGAAGTTGAGGATTCAGCCCATCACGGCCTCGCAGTCTCAGAAAAGCCCACGGTTGAGCAAGAAGAAAACCTGGCCTGAAAAATTGTTCCCATCGCGAACAATTTGAGATCCTGTATTGCTAGCAGTATGATGGTTGTGGCATTGGGGAGTGCATTCTGCGATCGAGCGTATTGTCTTGAGGGAAATAAGTTTACGTTTTAGACGGTTGAAGGCACTTGCCTGTAAGCGTGCCTACCGTCATTAGTAGATAGGAAATCTATATGTTGCCTAAAGAATTCCGGATCGATATTATATTTACTCCTAAGTACCGACACCTAAGACGGGTGATATCAAGCTACGGATAAAGATTACTTAGCCTAAGGTCTCTGGCGGGACGGAGGCTATAGTAGAGAAAGCTTTATGTTGCTCTTAATAATATTGTTGTACGTCCTACTTCCTCTCTCCGTAGTTATATACCACGACTAAGTTATATAAATATTTAGACTTAGAAGCAAACCGGTCGTAGTCTCTTTCCGCCTTCTTCGAATTTAGAAGATAGCGGTCTTATAGTAGCTATTCTATAATATCGATATACTTATTTCTAGGGAAAGAAGATATACTTAAATACCTCCTAGATAGAGAGATAATAGCATAGATATAATTATCTAGTATAGCTATAAAAACGGGCTCCTCTTAGACTATAAAAAACGACGCGGATTTAAATAAATAAGGTCTTATATACAGGTTTCCTACGCTCTATTTTTAATTATATAAGACTTACTTATCTTTGGTATACTAAGTAGTACGGAACCCGATTCGAACGCCGATAAATAATTATAAAGAAGGACTAGACGATAAGCATAGCCTAAGGGCTAGCTCCTAGAGAATGTTTGCTATACTATTATAGATATAGGCTATTATTAGCCCATAGCCGCTCTAGAAGTTTAGAGATCTATCTTAGGAATAATCTAAGCTTCTACCTCTTTAATATTAAGGAAGAGAAGGGAATAAATATAAAGAGGATACGCCGATGAGATCCCAGGTCCGCGTCAACCAGGGGAATCATAGACCAATCAGCAAAAGGGCAAGGAAGGCAAGTCCCACTAGGCCAAAAGGTCCACCAAGACTTCTGAATACTCAGAAGTCTTGTACGCGGTTTATATACTAATGATCCGCTCCGCGGATCTCAGTAAAATAAACAACTATTTTCTTCTACTCAAAATTCGGGCCAATCAGCTAATACAGTTACAGTGCCTTACATAATCGCCCTACCTACCCCTACCCAGAACTATTCCTCGAGGCCTCATTCAAGATCGGATCTTGAAGATCCTTTTTGTGCAAACACGACAAACCGGGCAGCACGCGTGCTACCTTTACTCACAATGATAAGCAAGGTAGGAAGGGACACCTTATTCTGTCCAACGGCTCCAGTTGATATGGACTTCTGTTGATCGTTCACTTACCATGCCTTCCCAAAGCCGATCTAGGTATTATCGCTGGCTACTTTACTTAACCATGTGATACCAGCACCCGCGCCGCTTTTCCTAGGCGGCTATTGCTGTCCTCTGATTGGTGAGTACATATATGACGATAAACTTCATAATGCAGCGAGACCGCCGTTTAGTTCATCTTTCCACGGTCATAGAAGCACCAATTACTTAAGAGGCGGTGATATGCGGCAAAAGTATGCCATGACAGTATATGTCACGATGTGTAATGTCAAACCTCGATTGCTAGCATTGGGATAGACCATCTCTGTTTGCCTGTCACGACAACATCGGAGAGGGTGGGAATCACCCAGCTGGAGGGATCTTCGAAAGTCGGACTAAGACTGAGCTATTTATAGTGTGCCATGAATGCAATTGATTGACTACTTGCAGATTTCTAACCCTAATTTTGTAATTCCCTCTTCCTTGTTGACATTATACTCATACGGGTTGGGTTGTACAGTAGAATATCGTCTTCAAGTCAACTTCTCCTGGGCGTACCTCAAAAGCCTACTAAACATTTGACAACCTTATACTTCGCCAAGGCGTGGACAGAGTTCGGAAAATGTTGATGCAGGCCTGTCACTGGAATCTGGCTAGTCCTAGTGGTTCAACTTACTTGATGTGGCTTGAGCGGAAGATATTCTTATCAGGCACGGGTGTGTATATCCGAAAAATTGTACGGAGTAAATAGAAAGGATTTGAAAAGGTACTTATCCCGAAGTGGGACTGCTAGTGCTGTACACCTCGTCAACTCATTTGGATAGCTCGATTATATTCCATACAAGTTCCGGAACTGCGAACATGTGATTTCAACCTGCCTCTATCCCATTGAAATTAGTCTGATTCCACCCGGTCAAGAACGGTTGATTACGATATGTCTAAGTTCGAGGTATTTGAGGTGCATCAAACCCAGAGTCGGACACAATTTCGAAAGGGTCTTTGTTGCAATTGTCAATTACCGATCGCGCATCGTCCATGGGCATCCAGCCTGACTCCGATTCTACGTTGAAGTCCAATTGCGGCTCACATCCGCGACGAGTAAATGCTTCTCGTCCGATGGGCGTCACTCGATAGATCGTACTCAAACCTCGGGAACGCTTTCGAGGTAAATAAGTACTCCTCTCAGGGTTGCTTATGTCTTTCCTAAACCTTGTTCGAAGCTCCCATTGCCGTTGTAAATTGACAAGGAGGTCTTTGGCGCGCCGAGCACTCTGCCAGGAGAGCGCAAACTCATCCAGTGCTCGGAAGCAGGAGCTCAAGTACATTTTGATGTCACCTTGTGAATGGGTTGGGTACTTGGTCACGGCGGCGAAAAGAAGTAAGAGGATGGCTGAAGAAGTTATTGAGACTGCCTTGACATTGATCCGGCGCAGTGTATATCGTGTTTCATAGAGAACGAGTATCTTCGAAATGGCAATGGCGGAGCTTATGCACATCTCACGAGCATGGAGATAACCTGGTCCCTTGGGCGGGTCTGGTTGTAAACCATTTTTGGACATCCATGGTCTGTGAGCGTATATGATGTTTTGATGGTATTGCATGCTTCACGTCATAGAATCAGTTAGCCGCTAGCTCATAGCCGGAGTTGAATTTATTTGACTTACTGCAGTAGCAATACATGCGGTAGATATGGCGAAGTGTAGTCGTCAAGGTTGATCTGGAGGAAAGGTGGGAGGTTGGCTTTCCACCTGCTCAGTTCGGCGACAATTTTTGCGTTAAGTTCTTGTAGCACTGGCTTTGATATCCTTGATGTGCCATATCTATTTGGAATTCTTAGCTGTTGTCTTATTCCTGGAACTTTGTTTGAAACTCACAATATATAGCCACATGGGGCCATAAGTTCACAAAGAGAGACCATCTGCTGGCTCACTGCTTCGGTACAGTCTAGCAAGCCGGCCGTCGAATTGGCGGAATTTTGCATTTCATATGGCGCCCACCTGTACTTCCCAGATTGACCCACTTGACCTTGTGGCTTACGGACGGTCACGTCCTCCATGCTGGTACGAGAGGGTCTGCCAAGATGAAACCCTAACTGACTACAAGGCCGTCAGTCTCACTTTTGCAGGAACGAGCACGTATATAACACTTACTGATCAACAGTATATGCAGCCCAAAACACCGTTCGACGAAGCTCTGCGTCTGCAGAGGTGATGTCCCGTCTAGAAACATACTCTGACATGTCGATATGCAAAGCAAGGTCAAACGCGAGTCGTATTGCCATTCCTTTCCAGCATTGTTAGTGGAACCAGCTGTATTGGGAATAAGGAAGTTCAAACTCACCACTAAATAACCACCCTCTGGTGTCTTTTCCATTTCCTATCTCATGATGACTGAGAATTACCAATGCCTGGACGGTTGCCACGCAAGGGTTATCTAATTCGAGCTCCAATAGCGACTTCACTCGAGCCCCGAGGAAGTCTATCAGAGATTTTGGGAATGTGACGAGAGCCGGGTGAAAACGAGATTCGAAGGCGCTGCCAATAGCACACCTACACAATATAGTCAGCTCATTTCAAAGTTGTTTAATGAGTCTACTTGGCACTTACATCGCATACCGTAGGGCTTCTGAATAGAACGGTGTGTCCTCCATTTCCTGCCATTTCCTTTTGGCCTCTGCATACATAGTTCGATCGACGACATGGCAAAATGGATCTTGCCAGCAAAAATAGAGATTGATGAGATGCTCCTCCAATGCTGATGGTATGTCAGGGTCGGACCCTGAACGATCATGGTACTCCAAGGGGTAAAGTTCGTTGATGGGTCGTGACTCTGGCTCTTCTGATTCTAGCACCCCCGTCAAGTTGAATGTTGATGTTGGGCCACAGAAATGCGTTTTGCCCCCAGGTCCGATTCTGAGGGTACCCACTCGGTCGGAGATCTCGTCAATAAGACTTTCAATATCCCCTGTGCTTCCCGTTTCCTCCACGAGCGTCTCATCGTCATCGTGCGCTATTGGATCGGGGAAGTTGACGAATTCTTCCTGTTCAATACCACTTGCACCCTGGGACCAGCCAAAGAGATGTTGCGCACCAATGGCGGTAGGGTTGATGCATGTCATAAATCCAAGATCCAAGTCCAAAGAGCTGAGAATGCTTTTTGGGCTGTCCTGGACAATATTTTGTGCATCCTCACTGAATAAAAAATTGAAAGGCATATTCTGGGTGGGTGATAGGGTGTTGGATACGGTGTGAACATCTGCCTCGAGTCCTCCCTCGGGAAATGTATCAGTGCTAGAATCTACTGACCCGGAAGTTGTGGCTGCCACGAGATTCTGCGACACGTCAGGTAAACACCTATCACTATCCCCAGGCATTTTGGAACCTTTATTGGCCTCTGGCTCGTTTGGGAGCGATGGCATGGACTTTGTCTCGTCATTAAGTCCAAGACTTTCCAATATCTTCTTCAACGCTTGATCCTTCTCGAGCGGCAGTTGCGGAGGTTGTAGTCCATTTTCAGTTATAAACTGACATAGCTGGTCAACTCTGTTGGTCAAGAGCTCAATGGCAACCCGTAATGGTAGCCTAGACGATGCAAATGACCCGTTCAGTAACGATTCGATCTTGATTGCCTCAAACTTGCTTACTTTCGTTTGTCAATAGCCAGGTAACGGCATTCCCGGTTTCTGTTCACGCATGTGGAACACGCTGGCTCCATTCCATCACACTAACATTAGTTAGCATCCGGATCTCAAGCCGATGGACCATGCACTAGGTGCAATGCTACCTTGACTTTGCTCTCACGGCAGGAGACACATGCCATCGTGGCATGCTTCCTCTTGACTGGAAGCCTGATCGGCCGCATCGTCAGCGTTGTACCCGTCAAGAGATGATCAGCAGTTGTTGTTCATTGCAATGCATGGAAGAAGATTGTTGTAAAAAAATAAAACCCGGGAATCGGGGAACTTGCTGTATTCGGGGTGGCGGGGGATCCTCGTGGGGTTGGAGGGGTGTACATCACAACCCGTCCGATTGCGGGGGAAGATGCCAAGGGTCAGCGAATCCGGGGTTTGCTCATTGGATGACGTGCGTGGTTTAGGTTTCGGCCTAACTAAATTATGTCTAGTTGGAGGTTGACTAGGTTGGCTGAGCCCGCCAATCGGCCATAAAGCCGTGATTTCCAGCCGAGTCCAACCTTCCGGCAAATTGTCACCGACCCGGGGAATGCGGAGACGAGGCGCCCTCCACAAATGCCTCTCCCCGGAGCCACAAAGTGTTAGCCTTGGCAGTGTCTGTTTCGCCCTCGTCGCTGCTGGCCTTCGCTATGGTGGACCAGACAATAAAGGAATGTCGATTCTCGCTGTCGTCTTCATTTTCGTGTATTACGTCTTCTACGGTATGTCCCTCCTCTCAATCCCTTATATGTATCCAGCGGGAATCAACTCCCAGAAAATGCGCAACATCGGCACATCCTTTGCTACAACTGTCAACTGGCTTTTCGTCTACGTGGTTGTCGTCGCCACTCCTACCGCCATCGCCAACATCCAGTGGAAGTACTACATGCTTTATGCCATTTTCAACTTTTGCTTCATCCCCGTCATCTGGTGGTTCTATATTGAGACTGCGAATCTCTCTTTGGAACAGGTCGACCGTCTGTTTGAAATCAAAAATGAAGGTGGAAACGACATGAGTTGGTCTGAAGCTACCAGGCTAGCCCATAAGGAACGGGGAGTTGGATTGAGCATCCACCTGGAAAAAGACCACGGAAATTCCGAGCACTGTGAAGTTGTAGCATGACGGAAATTTCAACAGATTCCAGCATTGGTAAATTGCAGAATTGCCTAGCCCAGGGCCTGATGAATCCTCTAGCTCTTTGAACGGCTGGGCCACCTGCGCGTCCTAAACTTCTATGTTTCCAGTGCTCCATAGACCTAGATAGATCAGGAACCACTTAGATTGAAATATTAAGATTGCCTTGTTATAATTCTTTTTTCTCTAGCTTTATTCCTCTTCTGGTCTTGTTCTTTGAGTCTTGGACATCGCTTCGTGCCTCACAAGGGCAAAATGTAGATCTCATATAGATCAAGGGCTGCCTTGCATCCAGCAGAATATTTAATTTAAAGACACCCGAGGCTGTCGAATGGGAATTACTCAATTTTGACCTGAAGTCTGGATCTTCTGTATTCATTCGCGTCTTGTAGATCAATCTATCCTCAAAATTTGGATTCGGAATTCCAACCCCGAACGTACCGGTGAATCTCTGAAAACCGACTTCCGCTCCCATTTGGCCGAGAGGGGCAAAATTTCCCATTTAAATTGCGTCAATCCGAGCTCAGTTCCTGATCTCAGAATCTCCATTTTAATCATTTGGTCCTTTCGGAATGTCTCGATCAAAGCTTCGCGTCGGAATTGCGGGCCTTGGCCGTATGGGTACGCTTCTGCTGCGGACAAGTCGCACGTTGCCAGAGTCTGCTAACCAGGTTAACAGGCAAGCGTCACGCCGTGAATTTTCACCAGCTGACAGCCCGTGCGCATGTAGTTGCTGCGTGTACACCGGATGAGGAGGAACGCAAATGGGCAGCCGAACATCTCGAGGGGGTGAAGATCTATAGAGACTATGACGAGATGCTCAACGAAGAGTTGGATGCTGTGGTAGTTGCTAGCATAACTGCCGTACATGCAGAGCAAGCAATCAAGGCAATCAACAAGGGCTATCATGTCCTCTGCGAAAAGCCTCTGAGCATCGACATTGAAATTGTAGGACTCCGATCAATTGACCTCTGTGTTCTCAGTATACTCACCACTTTACATTAACAGGCCCAATCTGTTGTTGATGCCTATGAGAAATCCCTACAGACTCATCCTAGCCAAAAAGTCATGTGTGGGTTCTCTCGTCGTTTCGATGCTTCGTACCGTGAAGCCCATGCAAGGATCGCCAACAACGAATTTGGTCTGCCTATCATCTTCCGCTCCCAAACTGCTGATCTATACGACTCATCGGGGTTCTTCGTGGAATATGCCAAAACCAGTGGCGGAATCTTCGTCGATTGTTCTATCCACGACATTGATCTCATGTTGTGGTTCTTTGGAGAAGATACCAAGATCAAAAGTTTGCAATCGGTGGGCGTCACTGCCGTTCACCCAGATCTCCAGGCGAGCAATGACCGAGATAACGCACTCGCAACCGTTGAGTTCGAGGGTGGAAAGATTGCTGCTCTGTACTGCTCTCGTATGATGGCGGCGGGACAGGAAGACATTACTGAACTTATTTGTGAGAGAGGCATGGTGAAGGTCAATTCACAGCCGAGGAAGAATCATGTTGAAATCCATGACTCACTTGGTGCTAGGCGTCAGCTTCCACAGCATTACTATGAGCGCTTCAGGGAAGCTTTTGTTACCGAGGCCCATGAATTCACTGAGTGCTGCTTAGAAAACACCACCCCGCCGATTACCCTCCAAAGCTCAGTCAAGGCAGTCGCTATTGGGCAGGCATTGCAACGAAGTATGATCAGTGGTGAGAAGATCTTCTTCGATGAAAGGAGTGTCAAGAACTAGTCAAGACTTAAGATACTAGTTCAATCTTATCGTTGTTGTTCAGTGTCTGATTTAAGATAGACTAGAGGTTCCAGAATGAAGAGTACTCTAATTTAACCAATGTACTGTATACCTGATTCACAACATTGAAAAACCTGTCTGGCTGAGAAATAGAAGAAAGTGAAGCTTCTTTGAGGTTTTCATTTCAGGAGTGCACACTTACTTTTATGGGATTTCTGTAACATGGCATCGTTTTCAACTGTGTCATCTCCTCGACCTGGTTAATTAACGCCAGTGGATCGTGACGATGCAGCTCAATACGGAAACAAATTTCCATCATTAGGGATGGTTATGATTTTTAAGAATCGTCGGTTTCCTAAGTCCGACGGAAGTCGCAAACCGATTCATACGAGATTCACCTCTGTACTCCAGCAGATGACGACACGGATAACTGTCTCCGGTCAAGCAACATCAGATGCATTCCCCGTACAAAGTTTTAAAAACCCCTCCAGACTCATTTCCTGGTGAACCTTTTCTGAATAACTTTTTCCTACCAAAAGACTTGTCCTTACTCGCAATTGATTCACCATGGTAGCCACCGTTCTTCAACCCATGCCTACAAGCATTGAGGCAACATCCGACAGCGTTGACGCGGTTAACGTTCTGAAGACGAGCAAGGGTCTTCATGACAAATCTGAATTTGACCAAGCCAAAGACAAAACCACCTTCCGCCAATTCAATGATGCTTGTGACCGTGTCAAGAACTTTTACGCTCAGCAGCACACCTTACAAACCGTGGCCTACAATCTGAAGGCTCGGAATGACTTTCATAATAAGTCTCGTGCCCACATGACCGTCTGGGAAGCTATGGAGAAGCTCAATACCTTTATCGACGAGTGTGACCCCGATACCCAGGAGTCCCAGATGACCCATCTGCTTCAATCTGCCGAAGCGATCCGGAAGGAGGGAAAGCCGAGATGGATGCAGCTTGTCGGGCTGATCCACGATCTGGGTAAACTTCTTTTCTTCTTCGGGGCACAGGGACAGTGGGATGTTGTCGGTGATACGTTCCCTGTTGGATGTGCCTTCGACGATAGAATTATCTTTGGCACAGAGTCTTTTAAGAAGAACGAGGACTTCAACAACCCGATATACAGCACCAAGTTTGGTATCTATTCCCCAGGCTGTGGATTAGATAACGTCATGCTCTCTTGGGGTCATGATGAATATCTTTACCACATTGTCAGGGACCAGTCAACTATTCCAGATGAAGGTCTTGCCATGATTCGCTACCACTCGTTCTATCCCTGGCATCGCGAGGACGCCTATCACGAGTTGATGAACGAACATGACAAAAAGATGCTGAAGGCGGTGCGTGCCTTCAACCCGTATGATCTCTATAGCAAGAGTGATGAGGTCCCAGACCCCGAGAAGTTGAAGGTGAGATCCTGTTGGTGCTCTAACACTTTCAATCTATATTTTACTAACAATATCTGTACTAGCCCTACTACCTGGAGCTCATTGATGAGTACTTCCCAACAAAGGTTCTACGGTGGTAATCTGCCTGTCCTAGCTTTTCACTATGTTTGCTCCTAAAGCAACACAAGGACAGATGGAAGATCTCTTGACTGTCTTTCACCCTTTGTAAACAAATTGTTCCAGAATAACCTTCATATTCTCTCTTTGGTATTAGAAATGGATTGTTCAATAGCTATCATTGATTTGTAGCCATACAGACGACAACAATGAATTGTAAACCAAATATATCTGATACTCTTTGCAGAAAAGTGAGACAGGATGATAAGTCTCTAAAATAGTAGGATAGGAACAATATACATCGTAGTTAGCCCTCAAAGTGACCGACACCATTCCCTACTAATAGCTTTCAGACTGTAATTTATTCTACAGTGATCGGGTAACCAAGGTACAATCATTGTAATCAGTAGCAGTATATCAGCAACTAGAGATCTGAAACGCTATCTTCACCGCTATGCCTTCAAATATGATGTTATGAATTTCGTTATGGGAACAGGTGGAAAGGGCAACGCACCATTACTTATCATATCTGTTGGAAATAGCTTATTTCTAAATGCCCAAGAAACGCCCTGAAGTAGCCTGGTGTAGTAAGGGGGATAAAATGTTATAGTAAACAGAGCATTCAAATGAAACGTCATTGGATTCAATCACATCTCCGCGTTTCATAATTTGCGGAGATCGAATCCCGGAAGTCCTTCAAGTGGCGGGATCTCCGAACGGACATCCATCCATCGGAAGTTTCACCGGGAACCCCGCGTCAAATAAACCAGGGTGCAATTTTAAGGTTCAGAGCCCTCTTTTTGTAATAGGAAGGGGCTTTAATATCCGATGTCTTCGTAGATTCATTCTTTGGCATAGCTGGCCCCCATATAGGAATTCGAGGGATAGCAGGAAAGTTGGTCGAAAGCAAATCCATCATTGATTCAAAACTTGTAATTCACTCCTCTTTCATTCTGTTCACAATCACGTGTGCCCCTAATACGAGCGATAGCCAAGATGACACTAGTTAACTGTAGTTCGTATATTCTCAGTCAAGTGAAAACACCCTCATGGTGGTAAGTAAGTAGAGTCGGTGGACAGAATTTGCTGGTAGTGATGCGGCTGCGAATTGCAAACAGGTTCCCATTACAGTAGAGAATTTGCATAGGCTGCTACACTGGGTTAGGCGAGAGAAGATGAGTATAGTTAAAAAATAAGTGAATTGTGGATTCTAGTCTGTGGTAATATCTATGACGTCCTATCTAAAAGTTACCTTTTCGTGTTGTAAGCAACAGTTAGCATCGGCTCGGGCTCGGTTTTAATCTTCCTATTCTTTTGGAGATCGGGAATTGAGACCCGACTCACGTGAAGGTATTCCTCAAGTGAATAGCTTCGCTCGCGCTTTGATGCTTAAATACTTTTGAGTAAGTTTTCCAACTTATTGTACCCATTCCTCGAAGAAATTATTTTCTATTGCAATGCTTTCCAACAAATTGGCTATCGCAGGCCTATCCTTGGGCCAACACCCCTCCCATTCACTCGAGCACAAAATCGAGGCGGCTGCCCAAGCTGGATACGCAGGCATAGAGATTGTATACTCTGATTTGCAAGCGTATTCCAAGTCACACAAGCTGTCTATGTTGGAGGGAGCCGAGAGAATCAGAAACCTGTGTCAAAGTGTCAACTTGGAGATACTCTCCCTGGCCCCGTTTGAGAACTACGAAGGAGATCGATCGCCTTTGAGTGACAGATTGGAAAAGGCTACTCATTGGATTGAGATAGCGAGAACTCTTCGGGCGCCATATTTGCAAATCCCCTCCAACTATAAATCAGACGCGATTGGCGATGAGGATGTTATTATCTCAGACCTCCAGCATCTGGCGGCTATCGGAGATGCCAAGCAGCCCCGTGTCTCGATCGCATATGAATTTTTATCCTGGGGAACCCATTGTTCCACATGGGAGACCGCCCTGCAATATGTGAATGCGGTTAATCGACCGAACTTCGGACTCTGTTTGGATACTTTTCATATTGGCACAAAACTTTGGGGCGACCTTTTTGCTCCATCAGGGAGGTTCCCTGACTCGGATGCGGTACTCAAGGACTCACTGAGTCGATTTACTGCCGAAATTCCCGTGGACAAGATCTTCTTCCTGCAGCTATCCGACGCCGAAAGAATTGATCCTCCTTTCTCCAAAGACCATCCGTGGTATGTGGAGGGTGAAGCGCCTGAATTCACTTGGTCCAAGCATGCACGTCCATTTCCATACGAGCATGACCTCGGTGCATACCTTCCTATCACCGATATCGCCAAGGCCTGGATCGTTGACATCGGGTTCAAAGGCTGGGTTTCCATGGAGATCTTTGACCGAGGTATGAAAAGCAAGGACAGTCGACCAGAGACCGCTGCCTTTAGAGGGATTGAGTCATGGAAAACTCTTCAAAGGGAGTTGGAGAATTGCGAATAGCTTAGAAACATTGAAAATATGCGGGCATTTAAGTTTTGAAAATCGTTAACAGGGACATTGTAATTTAACTTTGTGGAATTGAAGTGATAAAGGTCAATCCTCTTGCTTCTAGATTTCTGCGATTTTATTGCTCTGCTTATTAGATATTGTATGCCCTATGCCTTTATCTTCCACAAATGATATTGATTGAGCGGAAGAAAGACCACAGATCTGCCCTTTGCGGGTAGGGGATTTCAGGGGCGACACCTCGGTCGGTTCACCGTTAATCTAGCTTGGAACCCAGTCCCCGCAGCTGCAGATTGAAATTCTCACCGAGATATAGGTTCTCTCCTTGGAACCGATTACCATTACCTAAATTCGAACCAACCAATTCAATTAGTCCGACGATGTTCTAAGCTAAGCGCATCCATAGAGGGCGATGTGTGTACCTAGTTGTAGTATTCAATCGTTCTTCATTCAGTAGTACCACACAAATAAATGCAATTTATCCCTTTATTCACTACCTTCTTTTCCAATATATTTGATGGGGTCCACATTCTCCTTCTCAGAGGCTTCGCTTCTGCTTACTCCCTCGGTTACAGCCACATGAAGGCCCTCGGAGTTGTAGCTATGTAGCATTTGAATCTTCTCTCGTCGCATCACCTTTGATTTCTTGACACCGAAGCCCTCGTCGAAGAGGGTGAAGGCTTCGTCAACCGATAGGCCCTCTAGAAAAAGCATATTAGCAACGCACCGTGTCTCGACAAAGGGTCATTGCTTACTAGTTTCTGGATAGCAGAAATAGGCAAGCACAAGGCCGATGATGATGAAGCCAAGGTATAGACCGTATGTCCCGCTGGGAGTCATCTGTTCGAGTCTGTAATCGGGTCAGCCAAATCTCCCAATGCCGCAACAGGAGAGACGAACTCGGTGAGGAAGGACACGGCGACCACCAAATTTGCTGAAAAGCTTGCGGTCGTGCTGATAGCACTACCCGCTGCACGAATCTCGAGAGCAAGGTACTCAGACTGGTACCAACAAAGGTGTGCGTAGGTGGAGCCAAAGCCGGCGACGAAGATGACGATTCCGGCAATAACCAGGCCAACATCCTTCTGGGGATAAGCGTAGCCGTCAACTAGGACGTGCCCTGTAGGCTTACACATGTAGTAGAAAGCGACGAGACACCAAGTGAGACCGATGACCATGACAGGACCGAATTTCATCAGCAGCCCACGGCGACCGATCCGGTCCACCATAACCATGCCGCAAAGAAGGAAGAAAGTGTTGGTGATCGAGGGGATTAAGCCTCCAACAGACGGATTGGAAAGGCCCAAGAGTCCGAATAGCGTTCCAGCGTAGTAGAGAAGGGTATTATATCCGGTGAATTGACCAAAAACCTGGATAAAGCTGACGGTGAAAATTGAACGGCGGTACGGCTTGTGAGTCCATAGCTTCTTGGAGCGTTGCCAAAAGGTGGTTGAGCGTTGCATAGCCGTGGTGGCGGCAATGTGATCCTTGACGATGCGCAACTTCAGCTCAATAACCTCAGGTGAGGCGAACTTGTAGATTGTCTTGAGTACTTCTCGAGCCTTGTCGTCCTGGCCACGAAGGATAAGAACACGAGGCGACTCTGGTAACTTATGCATGAGGACAAGCTGCAGAAGCGAGGGCACAACGCCAAGACCAAACAGGATCCGCCAGTTGCCCTTAACGTGCTGCATGCCGGCACCAATGGCAACAGCGACTGTCTGGCCGAACGGAATGCAGAAGCCATTTGTGCCGACACACCGTCCACGAACGGCAGTGGGAGCCAGCTCGGTTATGTAAAGTGGACAGATGACAGCCGCGCCACCCACTCCGACGCCAAGGATAAGACGACCAGCGACGAGCTGTCCGAGAGAAAAACTCGACGCGATGACGATAGCACCGGCGGTAAAGAATAGGTCAGATATCAGTAAGCAGAGCTTTCGACCCCATCTGTCGGCGAACATGCCCAAGATAGCAGCCCCGAAGATGGAGCCGACGGTGGTGGCCGCTGTGGCAACCTCCTGTTGAAGGTAGGAGAGTGCATAACCAAAATCGGTCCCAATATAAGGAAGTGCAACACCAACAATGCCAGTGTCGTAACCGTATAGGAATCCACCAAGGGCCGCCTAGGATTTGTCAGTCGATTCTCAAAGGCTGGTGCGCGTCGTATCTAACCGAAGCGATCAAGAAGAACAGGTAAGGGGTCATCTTGTCTTCATTTTCAGCTTGAATAACATGCTCATCCTGGAACGCTCATTAGTACCATCCCGCGCTGAGCTAAAGGTCGAGGACATACGATGAGGTGGCGTTGTTCGACTTGGGCAATCCAGTTTTGCGACACACAGTCTGTCTTTGGTGCCTCATCCGCCGGGGCGGTCTCGATGTGAGATATCATATTGAAGAAGCCGAGCTGATTGTTTAGACCAAATATGGATGGGATGATGATGGGGACGAGGACATCATCAATTTATATACTTGAGATTCTGGAAACCTGTGAATCCTCTTGGGAGATGTCCTGTCGCGGAAAATAAGTGCCGATTGCGTCGTCTAAGGCGGTAGTTGCAAGTTTGACCCTACCAGCCACCCAGATAAAGTTTACCGGTTTAACTGATTGTCCTGGTAAACCTTGATCTCTTTGACAACTCTTAAAGATAGGTGTTTTAGGGAGCGCGACACTGTAAAGCTTTAGGTCAGGGCTGGAGACTGTCGAGCGGGGAGTCGTACTTTGTAAGTTCTGTGCAACTCCTTTAGGAACAAATCTACCTCCTCTATAATGAGCAGCCCCAGCAGACTGCAAAAATGAGGCAAGACGGAGATCCCAAATCTGGGGTTTGACGCTACCCCGCGAATGTGGAGCTTGCCAAAGAATTAATGTTTCCTGGAAGCGCCAATCGGCCGTAATTCCAGCCCGGAAACTTGTACGACCGGGTTTGCTGACGCAATTTCGGGGATGTAATTCCGACATCACGTGATACGCCTCTTATGCGTGGACTGGCTCTTCATGCTGGCCCCTCGAGGCAAAAGATCAGAGTCCGGGAGTTGCTCCGCAGTCCATGATTAATTGGCTGGCGACCCGAAAAACGAGAGACCGTATGTTGACGTAGAGTAGACTAAGCGAACGTCCACACAAAAGCATTTTGGTTCTTAAGTAATAGATCGCCAATATTAACATAGTCAACCACTGAGCTGGTGGTCCGTAACGCATGTTCGTTGACGTGGCGGCCTCAGGGCTGCGCTGATTGGTGGGCCGCCCAAATCAAAGTCTGGGGGGGTGGCGATTTTCTTTCCACGCTGCGAGATCGGAAGGTCGCCATGCTAGAACTCAAACCTCGCTTTGCGGGGTATCCCGGATTACCCCAGAGAAGGAGCATAAATGGAGAGCAGTTCAATGTCATACATATGGTTGGGGCCAGCCGGATTGTTCGAACCCTGGTCTCCCATAAATAATCATCGCAATATTCAGACCTCAGGAACCAGGATTTGCGTAAAGACCCAAGTCTAGCGAAAACGCTACTGGAGCTTGGCATCTATATATAAGGCTCTGGCTTTCCCCTATTCTCTTGGGTCATACTACTTGCTTGACTCGTGGTCCTCTCTGAAAGTGCACCCTCACTACGCCAAGCCCGTCCTAGATTTAGCTCCCCACGAATGATATTTCTCTGCTCTTTCGAAGTCTGCTCTTTGAACCTACATCCATCGAACTCTTACTTCCAAAAACAATCGGAATTCCTTGTCTTATGAAACTCAACCCTCCCAACAAAAAGTCACTATCCCCAATTTGGTGTCAAGACAGCGATGATGGTCTCTCCATCACGTAAGAGTTTCTAGAGGTGTCCTGGTCAACAGCACTAGATGACTCAGGTCATAGTCCTCTATTGGTAATATTCGTCACTGGCCACGAGGAATGAAAAGGCTGTGCAATGACCCCACAACCTTCCTCCTTGACTCAGGAACCAGAGGGCCTTGTCGGGGGCTATCAAGGGAACAGCACCGCTGTCAAGGTTATCATGGGTGTCCTGATCGCTATCGTGTTGTATAATGCAATCGAACTCACAGTTCTCATCCCTATGACCTTTCGTCGCTACCAGAGTCTCTACTTTTGGTCTTTGGCGCTTTCCGCGACTGTTGGGCTGATAGCCAGTGGCGTCGGCAATCTCCTACACTTCTTCGACATTGGGCCGTTGAGTTTGGCCCTAGCACTATCTAATATCGGATTCTACTTCCTGGTTCCGGCTCAATCCGTGGTTCTATACTCGAGACTACATTTGATCCTTTTCAATCCGCGTCTCCTACATTTTATACTCCGTGCAGTGATCTTCAATGGTATCGTCTTCGCCGTTCTCGTGACTGTTATGTCATTCGGCTCAGCCTTCCTGCAGACAGGTCCTTGGAATGCCGGTTATACTGTCGTGGAGCGGCTGCAGGTGACCTGGTTCTGTGTGCAAGAATTCGCTATCTCCATGCTCTACATCCATGAGACTGTCAAGCTACTCCAGCTTAGACCTTCGGATAACAATCGTCGAAAGAACATCATGTACCAGCTGTTGGCCATTAATATCCTTATCATCATCATGGACGCTGTCGTTGTCGTGATCGAATTCATCGGCTTCTATTATATACAAGTCTTGTTAAAGGATGCTATTTACAGCATCAAGCTCAAGCTTGAATTTGCTGTACTTGGCAAGTTAACTACCATTGTGGAGGCCGGTCATCCCGAGCGTATCCAGACTGATCTCAGTGCTTGGTGTGATCCACAAAACGGCCAAAGACTTGCGGCATCTGATCCGACATGCTCACAAATGACGTCAAATAACGCCAGATCCGTCTCCGAAGTACATAACGCAGATACGTACTTGGATGGGTTGGATCTAACAGGTAGCATGTCGCACAGCGGAAGATCCCTGTATAAAGGGCACAGGGCACAGCACAAAGACTTTCAAATACATTGATGGATTCGGCTTTTCATATGGATAAGGTTTTCACGGTAAATTCTGCGCTATATCTTCCTTACAGCAATTTGGTGTTCGTACCGATATGCGGATGAGACCAATTCGCATCCAATATTGGGATCCGGGGGGAAAATCAAACACTGGATTCAGATCTGGCTTCTCACCCTGCCTATTGCGCACTCGCCCTTCCGACCGTCAGTCGCATGACCGCAATACAGCAATCGTTTCTTACCCCACAAGGCTAGGCCAAACGACTGGTTGGCGTGGCCATTTGGCATGTGGCTTGAGTACGGCTGAGCGGATGGGAAGCCTTGTTCTCCACACCCTATGGTCGTATGTACTAGATTGAACATCAAATTAAGCTATAAAAACACCAAATATACTACATAAAACCTTCCTTATCATTCTATACAGACTACTAATCTAGTGGATTTGATAAGAAGAAAAATAAGATCATAGGTGAGACAAGCCCTCCGTTTCGCAACCGCCGCACTGACCCTGTCCTAGGTGAGCGTCGCCAATCAACTGGATTTCTTTTGAACTCGGGTAGCCTGGCTGAGCCACTATGAATTCATATGCATATTACTGTACAGCAACCTGGATATTGAGCTCCACTGCCCTAGTTGTCCTCGGCCCGACCCGTCAGCTCCACGAGATAGACATGTAATATCCCGTGCACCAAACTTCACGGCGGTAAGGAAACTCATGTCTTGATCCTTTCCATTTAATGAGGTTTCCTGTACCTTGGTGTGTCCTTTAATTAGTATGGGAAATGTGATTGATTAATGAAGACCAGACAAGAGTAGTAACACTTTCTGTAGGCTACTCATGTGAATTACCTGTATCCACTAGGACGCTTAGCTCTCGAATGAACGAAACAGCAGACCGTACAATCATGCACGCCGACTGGAAGTATTACTTAGCGTCCTGAACTTGTAGTGCTTATCTAGGCATCTACAGGCGCTTACAGCTGATAATCTTGAGTACCATGCCTAAAAATTAATGAAAAAGTGACCCCTCAATCAATCAATCATTCAATCAACACTCTATTAACCCGATGCAGCCTAACTAGTGGCGTAATGGCTATGCAAAAGTGACCCCTTAACAAGTTTCATTGACAACTCAACATGGGGTGGAGGCTCTATGTGCAAAAATAGAAACACATATATTTAAAATCTGAGATTATTCTCGGTTATTAAATGACGGCCTCGGGGAGGCGGTTCTTTCTTTCTGATATAGAACCCCATGATATCCACCCTGAGCCCATGGAAACTCTTATTCTAGTAATAGTCATTTGATTCTTAACACTTTTCGTCTTTTTAAGTCGAGACTATAAATATCTTATGAGTAATTGGCTACTGTGCTCGTGATGATCAAGTAAACGACACAGCGATTCTATAAGTTGCTTGGGAAAACCAAGTTAGAGGATCTTCTACCCTTATGGCAAGGTCCTATAGATCGCGTTCTAAAACAGGAGAAACAAGCTGTAAGTCATCTAATGATATAAGTTGATTAGTTATGTATCTGATAGACGCAACAGAATCCGAATTTCAGTTTTGCAGAGATTAGGTATTATGCTGGATCTAGTAAATATTCAGACTGCCCGCTCGTAAGAAGCTGACTTATGTTGCAGAGAATCTTCGCCCTACCCTTCTCATGACGATCCTAGTGATCTAGAGGACGTGCTTTCGGTTCGTCTAAAGAATGAGGATGAGCAAACCATTGATCGAATCCACGTTCATCAAGATGAATCTATAGGTAGGTAAGACTAGACCGTTATTCATTTCGCTATTAGAGGCAGCTAAAGACGTAATATGTTACTCGCTGGTTTGGAGAATAGAAGAGCGGAGGAAATTCTAGTTCTTGAGATTTGTATGATGGTTTATGGAACATAATGAAGATGGGGCGATGCTTACGCCATGTTTTTCCTTGGATGGCAGGGTGGAGGAAAATCTACCATATCTTTATATAGGGCACATTTGTGAATTTCCATACTGTGTAGTGATGGCAAGTGATTGACTTCATATAATGAATATTTGTCCATTTGCACCCTACGCCAAATATAGACTGCTGGATAGGGTACCGTGTGTAGAGGGTTCAACTATAACGTGTGAAGAACAAATCCAATACAGTAGCTAGTGGGCCACTTGACTCTTCCTTTCTTTTCACTTCTAAATCGCATATAAAGCGAGTTCACCAGAATGATACTAAATACGATAATTCGAATCCTACTTTAGACTAAGTTGACTTAAGCCAAGGGTCTGCTAGTAACTCCTTCGCAGACGCTCGATTTTCCGGTTGCTACCAGAGCATCTTCCGCATAAAACAGAGAAATAAACTTTATCGTGTACCTCGCAAATTGCCTTCTAGCTTCTCTAAACATATAGAAGGATTTTCCCCGGTATATATCTAATTACCTAAGTTTGAACCATCAGTCGTCTATACGGTGTAATAAAGGAAAAGGATATATATTATAACCGTACCGTCACGATCGAAGAACTTTATCGTATACTCGCTATTCTGATGTATTCTTTTAGTAGAGCGCCTATAATTACTATTATCCTAGCGAGGTGGTGGCTGTCTGAAATTTTCCTGTTTGAATTACGGGCGTAGAGGAGATGCTTTCGCTCAAAAAGACCCTAAGCCTATCGGAATAGTCAGTTTCTTGGTAAACCGAGTGTTGTGTCCTATAATAGATATATATAAGAACCCCTACGTTCTAAATATCAATCTTTTCATTCTATAGCATCCGTAATATAACCTCTAGAACCCGGTAAACTAAAGGTTGGATATTGTGAGCAAGCGATGCTGCGCAGGTTGGTAAAGAGGAAGATAAATTAAAGATGATTAAATAAGATCGATTAATCTTTCTTCCTCTTGATTGAATAGGAAGGATAAGTTCAATTCGGCTTAGAATCATAAGATGAGAGAAAAGTAAAGTAGGACTGAAGCTTGGTTGATTGTATTGAATCTTGCTTGTATGTTCTGAACATAATTATTATCTTGGTAGAGAAAGCAGGGCATATTTATAATCAACTTGTCTCTTGCATGTGATCGTTCTAGATGATGCATGATGATCTCATGCAGATAGATCTAGATGCATAGTGATCTCATGCAGTAGCTGTTTGATCGGTGGTTGCTTGATTGTACGATGTCATTGACTGTAGTGATGATGTAGATCGTGTCATTGACCGTAGTGATGATGTAGATCGTATACAGTTGTATACGTCTTACTTGATGTCATTGACCGCAGTGATGATGGTATAGCATAAAGCTTATAGAGATTCAGCCATCTTGTATAGGCCTTATGAATCTGGCTTGATATGCTGCATGACGGTTTAGGCATCTTGCCCTATATCTCACAGATATCCTCCGACTACTTTCCTAAGCTTAAGCTAAAGCGAGCCTCTCCAAAGTCCGATAAAATCGGACGGCTATAAACCTTTAGGATCTCTAGGTCACGGGAGGAATAGATTACCTGATTTCTAATGATTTTATAAGAGCTAGGGCTAGATCTCTCTACTTCTTCAAATTCGACGAGAATTAACTTATCCTCTATGCTAAGCATAATGTTATTTTCTTATATATCTAAGATAAGTTAGTAATAGAGTCTAATAATATGCGCGATTTTATAGAATTAGGAATAATATACTAGTATAAACAATCTTGGCTTCTATATAAAGAAAGTCGAGAGCAAGAAGTATGTAGATCAAAGATAGCTTAAGTAAGTCTTCCGGAAGCACCTTTTCTACAGTCCTATAGCTTAGCTCGGATAGACTCATAGCTAAAGGAGGATTCACGAGGCACTAATAAGAGTAGGTGTTATCCGTAGAACTGACTTAAAAGTCATCGATAGCGTATCGCACGAGTATAGAGCCCGTACGGCTAGATTTAACGTTTCTAAGATGCTTATACACTTCCCTTCTCTCTTCTTCTATAGCTAGAGTTATATTCGTATATTTTTAATATAATATAAGTATACTGCCTACTACTTTTTAGTCTTGAGACTTAATATCGCTAGTATTATAACTTACTATAGGTCTCTATAGAGCTACTGTTATGATATTTCCCACCATGAGGCTATTCACACTTTTCGGCCTTGGGATTCAGGCCACCCGGGGAGATCATCCATGGAGATCAACCATGGAGCACCCCTTCAGGGTGGCCTATCCCTGCCTTCTCACCGCTGTTCCCACGGAGGAGAGTCATCCGCCGATCTGCATACAGCTCATGCAAGCCAACGTGGTTACCCCTCTCGTGGTAGGGTTTACTGTATATAAGATCAGTGGGGGGACGGGAAAGAGGGCCCCCCAAGAAACAGTCTCTGTTACAATCGGACTTAGTGCTTTGCTCTCCTACCTAGTTGACAGGCTTTCTACCCTGCAAGTAGACTATCTTTACAGCTACACTGTAGAATAGCCCCTATAGCCAAGTTTACTAACTACCTAGTACCTTAACCGAAATATATCACCGACCTTTATAGGGTAGAAATAGTCTAAAGAGTACCCTCGTAGTATTTCCTCCTCTAGTTTCTCGTTTAGATCGAGAAAAATGCCTAGGCTAGAAAATTTCCTGACTAGAGAAGGCGGTCGCCTAAAGATAGACTACTTTAGTCGATGCGTGAGGCGTTATATCATGATTAGGCTAGGTTTATAGGGTCTAGGGTAATAAACTATAACTAAAGAGGGGATTGTAGGTTACTTAGACGACCGGCCGCTCGGATAGCTATATTATTTATGTGATCTAGAGGCGATATATAGGTCCTCTAGGGGCTAAACAATAAAGACCTTGTATCGTACTATATACTTCTAGTACTAGTAGCTTATTCTAAACCATTCTACGGTTGGTTTAGACTACTTAGAGATAGGCTTAGCCTCCTTTACTTCGTTAGCTTATAAATAACTTAGTTCTAAGCAATTAGAGGAATTGAATCTAGCTAACTAACTAACAACTATACCAGCCTCCTACGTTATAAGGAGTCTTCTAGGTATTACTTCAAGTAGTTCTAGGGAAAATTCTTTTAGTAGTGCTAGGTTTAGCGGTACCTTTGAATTCGTCGAGTTAAGGTACTAGCTACTTACTAGACTTAATCCTAATATATTTAACCGGAGTGCGCCCGAGAGTCTCTGTTTATTATAATATACTCCGTAAAATAGGTTAATATATATAGGTTAATTAAGTAGCTAGCTAACTAAACATAAAGAAACGAAAAAGATATTGCCTATTGCAGGATAGTATATACCTAATAATATAGCCTCTTGTTAATATAACGTAAAGTAAGGCGATTAGGACGTAATAAATCAATTAGCTTGCTAATAGAATTAAAGAAATAAGGAGGAAGCTTTCCTCTTCCGTACGCTTATTTCTGATAGGGGTTTAACTAGTCACTATATAATCGGGGTAACCGCCCCCGGGCTTAATATTAAATCTTATGTCAACTTATGTGGGATCTTCCCGCAGATGACTAAGCCGCCACCATCTCTTCCCCGGAAGAAACACCTCCATGTCCACCACATTGATTTATATTGATCCTCAACGATCTCGCATTGAACTGCCTATATTGGCCGGAGACTACTCAACACTCCAAGATAACCTCGGATATTCTTGATTTCTTCATGTGATATTTACGATGTACCTCGTGTTATAAATTCTGCCTGCTTTCCTATCTAAATTGAACAAGTCGGACGTCTCTTTTAACTCATGAGTAGATTTCTTTGGCATACCTGATCATACTCCTCTTTTGGTCTAATAAGCCGACCTCTATTTCTCTCATGATAGTCTTTCTTCACCTGCTTATGACACACATATCCTCTTGTGTGCAATCGGATTTTATGATCACCATTTAAAATCCATCATCTTATATATTTAGCTAACCTGTCCTTAAATACGTGGCTTATACACTAATCCGTTAGTATCCGCCTTCTTTCGATTAATAAGATATATCTAATCTAATAATATAAGGAACTAAGTGTTTACTACGATAATTCTATTTACTATCTTTGTGTCTATATATACACAAACTACTACTAGGTACAGTTTGCCTTTTATTAAAAGAATTAGTATACGTAAGCTAATATTAATTAGGGTAGGATATCTACTATAAGGCGAATTATCTACAAAAATAGCGGATTTGCTAAACCTAGCGCTTATATCGGTATATTCAAGCTTTAAGAGGAACCCTGCCTATTCTAGTACAAATACTTAGTTTTTATCGGCTGTAGATTCCTTTCCAGTATCCGTTACATCTTCGCTATATTATTCTAGATATAGAGGTATTGATATTAACTCACTTCCTACCTAGCTTACGCCCGTTCCTACTACCGTCGTAAGCATTATCTTACAAGAGGAGAGAGTCTATTAGTTAATCATTAGCTCTGTGATCCTGACGGCCACGTGTGGCCTGATTACATCATCCGTACGGCCCGGGCACCCAGAATTCTGCCGGTATCTACCGGATTACACTTATTTAGACCCATTTCCTTACGAATATAACAAAACATACTCTACCAAGATCACATATAGTAGCAAACCCTTAAAAACGGGTAACCCTCCGTGGCCACCCGGGGGAGATTGGCCACAAAAATAGGCAAAAGTCTCCCTATAAGATCCTGAAACTCACGATCTAAAGAGACAGCCGTACGGGTTAGGGAGCTAACTAAAAGAAGCCTTATTACAGCAAAAGCGCCCAAAAAGGGGGGGGATTACGAAAAACATTACAGTAACCCTAAAAACTCATTATAGTGCGGATTCTCCCTCTAACTCGCTTAGCTAGAAGCGAAAGGCAGGCAAAAATAACCTAATTACGAGCGAATCTCTCGGTAGGGCATCCTTCCGGGGCGCACACGGTCGACCGTTAGGGCCGTAAGCGAGCGGAAGTAAAAGCTACAGAGGGGAACAGGGAGAGAAGGTCAACTTTCGAACAAGAAACCTTCGACCTCACGGATCACCTACCCTCCCCTCGAACAACTCGATAACCCTTCTTTAGCCGAAATAGACTACTTTCCGTATATATTAACCGACGAGCAGGCCCTAGGCCAGGAACCGCAAGGCCCGACTACCTACGAACAGGACCGACCGGGCCTAAATTCTCAAGGCTAGGATACGCCTAATCCTCTAACAACAGCAGCGCTACTTCTACTACCGTACGAGATAGGCTAATAGTATCTCGACCTATAGCAGACCGTACTAGATCGAGATACTACCGCGCGCCTTATTAGAGAAACCGTCCGCTTTATATAGCTCGTAGAAGTAAATACGAGAGCTATAGCTACGTAGCCTACGCCGATAGCTACCCCGGCTAGAAACAATTGTGCGGAAGCGGACAAGAAACAGGCTCTTCTCAAGACGATCCCTAAGATCAGGGATTACACAGAGAAGATTCAAGGAGATACCGCGCGCGAGTATCTCTATAATTGCGAGCGTTACTTCTAGCAAGTAGCCGAATTCTCGGCTTCGGCTCTAGTCGATCGAGAGAAGATTATATACGCTAGCGGTGTACTAATAGAGAAAGCTCTAAGGAGCTAGCGTAGCCACGAGCGCTAGGTAGTAGAAGGATACGAAATAGCTATTTTGACCTAGCAGGGCTATAAGGACTAGATTAATCGTGAGTTTTCGGAATATCTTAGCGCTACAAAGAGGTAGAATCGGTTTAAAACGCTCCGGTAGGGAGAAAGGCAGCCGTTTATAGAGTACGCAACTCGGCTCCGACAGGCCGCGATTAAATACGAATAGACTATTCCGGACCCGATCTTTGTTGAATTCTTACGAGATAGCGCCTAAACGTACCTATAGCGTAGGTAGGCAGAGGAGCGAAATCCCCCGACCGATCTCCGCGATATTATCAAGCGCTTCAAGAGTTACAAAGAGGGAGCTACTCTCGCGAGCTTCTACTCGAGATAAGCTCCGAATAATAGCGATACGATAGATTTATCCGCGATACTAGCTAAACCGATATATCAGGAGAGAAGGAAATGCTTTAACTACAATAAGATTAGGTATATCGGGAGGAACTATCCGAAACCAAGAAGGGAACGAGGTAATCGGAAGTAATTAGAGGAATCGGGAAACTAGAGGGCCTAGCCGATATCGAAGCAATTGCTAGCTACCTCCGAAAAGCTTCACAAGTTACGGAGATTCTACTTAAGGACCGACTAGACCCGAAAGATAACGAACCTACGCTAAAGAACGCCTTATTACTCACGGTTAGTAAGGCCTTACTATTTTATAGCGCTATCCTAGGCCTAACGCGGACAAACGTGACTATTCGCGCCCTATTAGATTATAGAGTATTATACACGTTTATATCCTCTACTATTACTAAACAACTAGATAGGCTAGTAGTACAACGCTATAGCAAGCCCCTCGCTGTTAGGATACCCGACGGGAACGAACTGTACACAAATACGTCTATTCGGGTCCCTATAACCCTTAGCTCTTAGCGTAGATACGTAGAAGTATAGATTCTAGAGCTTCCGGGATACGACTTTATCCTTAGCCGCGATTTTCTCTAGTCCTAAAACCCTCGGATTAATTAGGTTATATCGGTTATAAGGCTACGAGATCGCTTTAAAACGTACTAAATCGAACTATTACCCGGGAGTAACGAGCAGGCTTTAACCGAAAGGAAGCTTAACCTTCTAAGCGCGAGGTAAGCTACTAGGGTAATACGGAAGAGAAATACTAAGGGAACACTCTTAGTACTACGATAGGCCGAGAAAAGAGGCGAATACGCGCTACCTAGGCACGAGGACGAGATAATCGGACAGACTTTAAGGCGTTTCCT